AAGCTGAGACTGGGCGGACAAGAAGCGTCGCCCCCTTCAATTCCGAGCAGGAGATCAAGTTCTTATCAAGCTGAGACCAGAACAGATCAGGTTTCGCAGCTGAAAGGATTAGAGACTAGTTCGAAAATATGAAGGCCCGGTTGAAGTCCTTAAAAAGATCGGGGCTACCTCCTACCGAGTGGCATTACCCGCATGAATGAAAATCCACCCAGTAATTCATGTGAGCAAGTTGAAGCCCTATCATCCTGACCCAGACGATGACCAAAGGAATGCAACCACAAGACCAAGCATCGATCTGAAGAAGAAAGAAACAAAAGAAGTAGAAAAGATCCTAGCCGACAGGGTTAGGAAGATAGGAAGACCTGTACGGACGATTCGTCAATTCCTTGTCAAATGGAAGAATCTCCCTACAGAGAAAACAAGCTGGGAACGCGCCGAAGATCTGAACTCCGCCGCCACCCACATCGCAAGGTTTGAAAGTAGTCGGTTGACGGGGTCGTCAACCAATTAGGTGGGGGAGGATGTCACGGTCATGCTCGTCCAGGGCATGTTACCCATGGCCGCATGCCCATGACAAGCCAAACCCTTGTCATGTCTTTTCATTCTAGTGTTTTTTCTTTTGTAATTCTAGGGCGTATGACGCCTAAAAAATAACATGTCTAGGCCTGCCAGACTTAAAATGGCTCAGAATGTACTATAAGGAGACATGACTAGTTGTCAACTTCTCCCTACCCAAGGTTATATATGCTAAGCCGTTGTTATCTTTCTCTTGCTTGCTTATATAACGTCTCTTTCCAAAATCACGCTTTCTAAAATCTCTCTCTCTCCTCGTTTTCTAAAACCTTCTTTTAAAATTGAGGCTAGAGGCTCGATCATACGTCGCTTGGCCGTAGGCAACGCAAGAATAATTGGCTTAAGCTCACTTGTCGCTGGAAAGTGAGTGCCGCACAATCGCTAGTCCGCTGCCTTCGAAAGCGCGATTGTGTCACCGCGCATCGTCTTAAAGATAGGACACGTGTTAGGCGTGAAAAGGCGGCGGAAAATTTACGAAAAATACTGCGTTACGTAGGGTTTGAAGATCGGCACCCGCTACCAGATTTATGAACCCGCGTGCGACCCGAACTCGCATCTGCCACGCGTCAGCGTAGGAAAATTCGTAGGAACCCGCGTGCGTCCAGGTTCGAACACAGACCCTGCCTCTCAGTGGACCAGTCAGCCCTCGCCACGTGGTGACACACCAGCGCGCGACACCATCCCCTTAACGCGTCCGTACGCGTGCGTGTCTGTGCGCGTAGGAAATCCCTCCGGCGCGTTAGGCAAGTGAACCAACGCGTGAGATCTATTTTTATCCCAATTTGACTTCCGTTTGACTATTTTTCATCTCAGTTTTGATACTGATCTAAGTTTAACTTGAATTAGTACCTATCAAGGAAATTCCAGAATTTTTGTAACCTTTTCCGGCAAATAATTCGAGCTTGGGAAGGCACACATCAAACTATGTAAGTAGCCATTTTGATTCCCACGAGCAGTACTTGTAGGAACCGCTAGGAACAAGCATGCATGCTACCACCCATAAACTTAGCTAGCCGAACCTAGAATATTTGTATAGAAACTGCGAAAATGAAATGATTAAGGATAGCTAGATATGAAATGTTTATTAAATCTGTTTTGATTGAGATTTTGATTAGGGTGCTTGTGACTAAGTAGGCTAAACGAGACCCTAGATTGGGGGACCTCTAGAATACCGTGCAATTAGACCCGCAAAATGATTATCAGCGGATCTAGAGCTCAGAATTCCAAACCCGATAGGTTTGTGAGACCAGGCACGAGAATCCTAGAGATACATGAATCCAAGTCTAAGCCATCAAGTTCCACCCTAGAAAGAATAATAGGTCATCACGGTAATTGTAGGTAGCCCGCTAGAGTTGAGCAGTGTAGATAGTGTCATCAAAACCTCCACTTCCCTCTCTCCTCCGATACCGTACCGTCAAGACAGAGCTCCAGTACGGAGATCGTTGAGCTTGGCAGATTTGGAAAGGGAAGTGTGACAGGTGCCCAGACCTAGTGGTGATAGCTAAGGGGTCTTCTGAACAGGACTCCTGGGCCGTAGAAACCCATCCCTGAGCGGGGGACGTGGAGCCACACAGGATGACTCAATAGTTGACTGGCACACAGAGGGTCGCACCCCAAATTTAGTGGATGTATAGTCCCGTGTGAGGGTCATCAGCTAACCTCTATGGATTATGTTCAAAGAGAGTCACGTATTCAGATCCAACCATACGATCTCCTCAGATATACTTATGAGGTCGGGTCTCACCTCAAGACACTGATCATTTCACTGCTTAAGATGGGCAAACCTCCTAAGATACAGAAAAGAGAGTTGCAGCTTAGATCACTCTCCTTAGAAACCCGAGAAAGACCGTGGATACCTACCAAGATAAGGATGCGAAAAGAGCTTAAAAGTAGGTTGCGTACTAAGTATATTTTTATATTCACCCCTTTCTCCCTTTTTTTTTTCAGGTACCAGTCGATACGGGGACCTTCGAGAGCTGCACTGTCACAGAGGGGTGTCGTTCCGGAGCGTCAGTCCCTTGTCGGTCTTTTAGAGTCCTTTGTCCGTTTTTATATTTAGAGTCTTTTATATTTCATTTTATATTTGTAATTACTATTTGTAACATTTGACTTTGATTTTATATTTAATTTTGGTGTCCTTGATTTTTTAAATTTTGCCAGATTTTTACCTTCTATTTTATTTTCTTTTTATTTTTATTTGTTTTCGATTTCGTCTTTTTAGTCACGATTCGGTCTTTCGAAGCCTCGAAAGTCTGGTCCTGACAGTATATGTTATGGTATGATAGGTATGAAATGTTACATCTTTGTACTTATTCCTTATTCTCCATTTTTTTCATGTAAGGAGCTGGTCGAAGTTGGGAGTGGACTCCTGGGCAAGTGCCATAGAATAATCTCACCCGTCGTCCTCAACTCTTTTGTTTGAAAATGTTTTGAGTTCGTTTCTTATTTTGTGTTTTAAATATTGTCGTGCTGTAAATTACTTATGTGCGCACTATTTTGTTATAATATTGTCTCACCCTCTAATCGCCCTTCATGATTCCATTAGTTTTAAACCTCTAACGGTGTTCAATCCAAAGTCTCGACCTACCAATCTACGTGCTTACCCTAGACTTAACTCGATTCTGTTGCTTATTCTCAAAAGGGAGGGATCACACAATCATTCACCAGGAGTCACACATGCTCAATGGGGCGATAACTTCCATCGAGCACCTAGAGGGTTGATAAATAAACATCTCATCCACTGTCACAGCATGATTACTTACACTAGTAGTAAAGTATATCAAGATAGGGAATTCAAAATAGGGAATATTCGCTACATATATACGATTTATTTAACCGCATTTTTTTTATTTACGAATTAAACAAAAAGAGAGAATCTAATCAAATATTACTTTAATCAAATATGTGTCGGAAAATATTAGGATTGGCATTTGAATTAATATTAAATAGTTTAATTAATCATTTAATATTACCTTAATTTGAAATTAGTTATTCAAATTAATTGTTGAATTAATATGAAGAAAGTCAAAATGAACTTCATTTAATGGAAAAATCCATGTTAGTGGAATTTTGAGGGGCCGAAATTTGGTTTAACCAAACTTGCATGCTTGCCAAATAAACCCCACAAATTTTAGTGGAATTTTGAGTGTCAAAATTTGGTGAACTCAAACTTACATGCTTGCCACATAATCTCAAACATTTGAGTGGAATTTTGAGTGTCAAAATTTGGTGATCTCAAATTTGCATGAACATGCAAACATAACTCTATAAATAGAGTGATCATGGTACATGGAAGAGCTTCCTTGGTGAAAAACCTTCGGAAAAACTTTTCACAAACACTCTTCATATATACAAAATCCCTCCCAAGTTTAGTCACTCACCGGATTCCACAATCCCGTTCTAAGGCCGGAGGATAGTGGTGAAGACACTAGTGGTTGTTCGAAACCAGTTCGCGAGGAAAAAGAAATTTGAACTATAGAAGGTTAGTATTCAAACTCATTAAGTTTTAATACTTATGAACATGCTAGTTATTTACTATAATTGATGTTCTAAAAGTGGCTAAGATCCAAATTGCTTCCGCATGTATTATATTAACACCATTAGTCCTCTTGCGTGAGCTCGAGATCTTGCAAGCGCGAGCGCCTAGCCTGTGGTGTGACAACATTGGTGCCACCTATTTGAATGCAAATCTAATCTTTCATTGATGGGCGAAGCATGTTGAGGTTGATTATTACTTCGTTCGTGAACGAGTATCGACTCGTCAGCTTGATGTGCAACTCATATCTTCCATAGATCAGCTCGCCGATATCGTGACAAAGTCACTGCCAGCTCCTTCTTTTTGTAGTTTTAGGCACAATCTAAACTTAGTGGTACATCGTCAAGATTGATAGGGGGGTGTTAAACGTAGAATAAGTCATATTTGTACATATTAAGATAATCTACTGATTTCCAAGTTTGTTACCATGGATCAAGGAGAATCTACCGATTTCCTGGTTTGTTACCTTGGATCTAGGAGAATCTACTGATTTCCTGGCTTGTTACCTTGGACAAGTAGAATCTACTGATTTCCTGATTTGTTATCTTGGACCAAAGACCACCATGTAATCTTCATTGTACAAATCTATAAATACATCAGGTCGTGACTCATATAGGTCATAGTGCTATTCAATCTAACAACTACCAAACGAGTTACGTGTGTCGGAAGTTCGCTTACCGTTCTCGAACGATTCTCAAATTTTCGCCTTCAGATTGAGATTTTGGCTAAACTTCTTCATATATCGTGTGGAGAGTTCTTCCTACGTGAATATATCAACATTTTAGGACTCAATTCACATAGGAAAATCTCAGATCTGAAAAAGTTCGTTCAAGGGTCTTACCTCATGAAACATTCTCAAACCTTGATGCAAATGAACCTTTGCTTCTCATACCTCTCTTTTCTCTAAGGAGTGGTCCCTCGTTGGCAAAAAATGGATTCTTATGGCGGTTTTTGATAGGATCTCTTGCAGCTCCTTCTATTTTTTCTCTCAACCTTTCCCTCTAACTCTCTTTCATTTTTTTAGGTAAACTGATTAGGTCTTTGGCCCCCTATTATGGCTTGAGGGGCAAAATGACTTGGCCAACTTTCTTTTCTTTTCTTTTCTTTTCTTTTTCTTTTTTGTTGAGGTGTTACATCCACCTTCCCACGAAGATTCATGGTTGTTGGACATTTGTGGAGGTAGATCTCATTTCCTCAAAAACTCATTTTTTAGATCTCTTTTTTCGATGGTGATACCTGTGATTCGCTACGTGTGTTCACTCTGGGGGAAGGTATAAAGGTCAGTGAGGGTTTTGTCGGTTTGATTAGGGTGTTTAGGGGCTGTAACATCCACGTTGTCTTTTGTCTAGGAGCTTTCACTTGTTGACAAACTAAGCACTTGATCACAAACTCAACCACGTCCCTCTTCATGCTCTTCCACTAGAAATGTTGTTTTAAATCTTGGTACATCTTAATAACTCCTGGGTGCATGGAAAATGGCAAGTTGTGAGATTCCGTCAATATTTCTTTCCTTAGCTTCTCTATTTTTGGGACACATATGCGTCCCTAATACAATAGCCCTTCATCTAAGCACTTCGAGAATCCATCTACTAGACTCTCGTCCAGCTGGCTTAGGACTTTATGTAGGTTTGGATCTTCTCGTTGGGAGGTAATAATTCTCTGCCTAAGCGTAGGTTGTACTATGAGTTGGGCCAACTGTGCTATGACTCCCTCGGTCCCTAGAACTATGTTGACTCACTCGAATTCTCTTTGTACCCTTACTTCCCTTGTAATAAGAGCCAACGAGTGGACCGTCTTTCTACTAAAAGCATCTGCGACCACGTTTACTTTTTCAGGGTGGTACTAGATATCTACTTAACTTAATAGTCCTTCACCAATTCTAACCATCTTCTCTTCCTCATATTTAACTCTTTCTGGGTGAAGAAATATTTTAAACTCTTGTGGTCGGTAAAAATTTGAGTTTTCTCTCCATACAGGTAGTGTCGCAAAATTTTCAGTGTCAACACTACAACGGCAAACTTTAGATTGCAACAACCTTGTTGTATTGCATTAATACACATCTCAGTCCTTTCTTGGAGTCGTCACTATAAATCATGTACCCTTCTGAGCTCTCGAGTACCGTGAGTACCGAGGCGATTACCAATCTCTCTTCTAGGTTTTGGAAGCTTGCCTCACAAACATCATTCCCTATAAATGGTACCCCTTTTCTTGTTAACTGTGTTAAAAGCAAGGCTATCCTAGCTAAGTCCTGCACGAACCTTCGATAGTATCCCGCCAATCCTAGGAAACTTCTTACTGCTGTTACTATAAATGGGCGTTCCCACTTTCTGACCGCTTCTACCTTGGTGGGATCTACCGATATTGCGTCCTTTGTCACCATGTGTCCTAGGATAGATGATATGAACCACGACCAAGGAATTTCCATACCTCAAGGTCCAATTACAAGGACGAGAGCCAAGAAGCTACAACAAACTTTATACAGTTATATTCAAGCTATGGTGAGCTCATCAAAGGAAATTCTAGAAGACGCTGGAGACCTCCCTTATATGTTGTGCAAAGTTGAGGTTCAAGAAAGAGATGAATTAAATGCACTTTAAGTTGCATTTAATGAACTCCGCTGAATTTATCAAATAGTCCAAGAATGACTAATAAGCACATTTTATTATTTGCATTATTTAATTATAGTTTAACTATTTGTTTGTCATATTTAAGCTAGTTTTAAATATAGGAGTTAAGGTTATATTGTAACCCACATAGGTTACTATATTCCACCATTAACTAGCCATTTAAATGAGGAGGTTATGGGTATTTCTCATTTACTAGCCCATTTAATTTGGGAGTTATGTATGACATAGGTTAAGGTTGTAAAGGCTATATAAAGCCTTCTTTTCTTTGATTAGACATCAGATTTTGGAATTAAGAATAGAATTTTATTTTAGCTTTGTTGAGAGCTAAACTTTCTTTGCAAATTCTTGTGTTTAGAACTTGCATGTAGAGTCATTCAAGTGGTATTGATCAAACCTCTTGTGGAGTGATTCGAATCACGAGTTTAGAAACGAGTTTTCTTTACTCTTGATCTTGATCATCAAGGTAATCCGTTCCATACTTTCCCTTGGGTTGATTTCCATATCAATAGAGACTTGTCATAACCAAAATTAGCACTTGAAGAACTTGCCGTACAACTTGTTCTCTCTCAAGGTTGTTCGGACTTTTCGGAGGTGTTCCTGGTGTTCTAGATGTGTCTCCGAGTACACTAGGATGTCATTAATGAAAAACATCACAAACGTGTCTAGACAGTCCTTGAATACTTGGTTCATCAACTCCATAAACACAGTTGGGGCATTGGTGAGACTAAATGACATCACTACGAACTCTTAGTGACCATACCTTGTCTTAAACGCTATTTTTGGTATGTCTTTTTCATTGATCCTAATTTGGTGATAATCAAACTGAAGGTCTATCTTTGAAAATACAGTTGGCTCTCTGAGTTGATCGAATAAGTATTATATTCTAGGCAGAAGGTATTTGTTTTTTGCGGTTCTCTTATTTAGCTCTCTGTAATTGCCACACAGATGCATGGATCAATCTTTCTTCTTATCAAACAACACTAGCGCACCTTAGAGGGGATATGCTAGGTCAAATGAACCCTTTATCCGGTAAGTTTTGTAATTACACCTTGAGTTCTTCAACTCTGCTGACGCCATGCGAAAGTGTGCTTTGGAAATAGGCCCAGTTCCTGGCTCGAGTTCGATGACAAAGTCGACCACTTGGGAAAGGGGTATTCCTGGTAGATGTCCGAAAATACATCTAGGAACTCGTTTGCTATTGACACGTTTTCTAGGGTCTTTTCTTTTCCTCTTACGTCTACGGCACATGCTAATATAGTCCATCCGCTGTGTTGGACTAACCTTTTTTCTTTCATCATCGAGACTACCTTGGAAGTAATCCCGATACTTGTGCCTTTAAATTTGAAGGCAGGCCCTGCCGGTGGTAAAAATTTTACTTTCTTTTTACGACAGTCTATACTAGCATGATTTTCGGCTAGCCAATCCATGTCTAGTATGATGTTGAAGTTCGTCATGTTTACTACTATCAGATCAACGCTTAAAGTTTGGTTCCCTATGATTACTTGACTATTCTTTACTCTATTCCTAGCTACTAAGTCTACCCCTGCAGGGGTGCTTATAGACATTTCATGCAACAAGGGTTCTAATTCGAACCCTGCTTGTACAACAAAAGACATAGAAATAAAGGAATGCGTAGAACCAGAATCAATTAAGGTAAAAATGAAATGACCTAAAACAAATAGTGTACCTGTCACCAAGGCGTCGGACTTCCCAATATCCTTGTTCCTAGATGCATAAGTCCTAGCTTGAGCTGACGGTGGTGCTGGTTGTTTCGTCTACTCTACATGTGTATTTACTACTCTGTACATTTCCCATACGTGCAAATATGGACCCACGAGGGGGTTTGCACACCTTTTGGGCCTCGTACTTGTTGGGTTAGCGTCTCTAGTGCTATTGTCGGACAACCAAAAGGAGTAGCAACCATCGTAGCATCTTGTTAAACTGACGATCATTTTCCTTTTCAAAACTACACGTTTATATTAAAACTAAGGAAAAAATATCTAGATGCATGTGACATACCATTATGCATGAGATCCCAATTTTTTCACATTAGTTAAACCATGTAAGACAACCCCTTCCATTTTCCTTCCTATCATATTATTTTATAGCAAAGTCTTTAAAACATGTCTGGGGATGTGTATCATGTCAAAACTTTTTACTGCTTATCATTCATGTAATACATCGTATTATATCATGTCATGCAACACATTGTAACCTTCAACATATCGTATATCCATACGTCATATCATTCAACATATCATATCATAGACATATATCATATCATCAACCATATCATATCATAAACATCTCACACATATCAAACATATGACACGTGTAGAGTCATTGAGCATGTGTCATCTTATATAACACAAACTTCTACCATGCCTTTTGTAAGACCACTTACATGGATGACCTTGGTCGACGTTCTATCTAATACTCGAATACGCTTGATTTCATCCCTCAAAGTTTGATTCAAGTATCGTAGAGATATTTCACCCTATTAAAACATTCACCTTGTTTCATTAGAAAATTCTTTCCTAACCAAATTTAACTTCAATTGAGAAATTGAACATGGTACTCACCTTTCCCTTAAATAAGACCAAATTCAGCTTCGAGAGGGTCAAAAACATTGAAATCGTTCTTAAAACATCTAACCCAAATCAAATGACTTTTTTTTAGCTGTTAGAGACTAGCGAAGTTGAGCCGAGTGCGCCAGTGGCTGGGGACAAGACACATGTCGGTAGTGAGCCAATGCGTAGGTTGCGATTCGAGTAGAAGCGCAGACTTCAGGTTAGAAAAGTAGAGAGTAGGTTAAGTCATTATCAACAAAAAGATCCTTGTAGAGTAGGTTTTGTTGGATTCAAACTTTGGTCCAAATATAACATATTTTAACTTGAATGCAACAACTTACTATATATAATACACCCTATTAATTATTAAATATATGATAGATATTTAGATAAATAAGGTTAGAAAAGTAGAGAGATTTAGATTGTACAAACTGTCAATCTTTATTGTATACCATTTTGACTTGTGAACAACACAAAATGGATTTGTGAACAAAGAAAAAGTTACATATATATATATTTCTTGGAAAGATAAGTTATAAGGACCAGGCTGACTCGATGACTTCATAAAAGACGAAAAAAAATTTAGCGAACTAAAACAAGAAAATTTAAAATATAATATCTATTATATCAAAATAAAGTTCATACATAAGTTTTTAAAACACAATCCAACCATCAAGACACGAAATACGGAATGGACACAAAATAT